TTCGCCAACTGGTCCATGTAGCTACATAGTATATACTTAGGGCCCAAAGTGGTTCGCATATAAGTATTTTAGGGGACAAGTCTATATTATACAGCTACTTGGAACCTTTGGGTTCATGAATCCGAGGAAGAGAGGGGTATAGAGCATGTTTGTGGGCTTTCTGTGGGCGTTACGGGTGTTTAAAACACAGCTTCCCTAACGTCTTCAAGGACAACCCTCATTGCAGCATCCATTAGATGAACCCCCCCGCACCCCGTTACAGTGGCGATAAGGGATAATAGGGGTTAGATCATGGTCTTCTTATATTCCTATAATACCACTATTACAGGGTGGGGGGGGGTCCTCCTGAAGTATCCATGTTGGGGATCCCTTATGATAGAAGCAGCGATGGCCTTGTGGCATCCTTTTTCTTTTCAACTCCTGGAAGTCCTAACTAACGGGGGAAACAGCATGTTAGCGGGATTTACAGAGAAATGGGGTTTAGGGTACAGGTTTTAAGTTTTAGGGTTTAGGGACCGTAAACGCCTAAACCCTAAAACCTTAGGGTTTAGGGTTTGGAGGAACTGGTGCCCTGCCTTCATAGCATGCAAAGGCCAAGCTGGATGTGGATCGCGGCCAGGCCCGACAAGCCACGCCTGCGTAGCTGTTGAGGGATGTTGAGGATTTAGGGATTTAGGGATTTAGGGATTTAGGGTTTTAGGGTTTTAGGGTTTTCAGCATGAGACAGAGGTTGCTTCTTGTATTATGGCTGTTTGCGAGCCCAGATGCAAAAAGTGATTCAGCATTCTAGGTTGTTGTTGAAGTACATGTCACATGTTTTTTATGCTTAAACCAAAGTAGATCGAAGATGATCTGCTTAAACAGTACCTCAGCGATGTTGAAAAGTTGGGGTTCAGGTTTGGGCTTCGGAATTTGTGGGTTTCTCAAGATTAGGGGTACCTCTGCGGGGGTCCTAAACCCTAAGCCTTAACTAAAACCCTATAACAAAGATGACAGTATTTTGAAGGGAGACTACCTTTTACTAAGAGTCTACGACTGTCGGGCTGGGGGAGCTCGGAGTCATTACAACCCTCGTGAAGTAGAGGGTAGGTTTAGGGTTTAGGGTAGAGGATAGGAAATACAGGGAGTGCCTCCTTAGTTACATTCGAACTTGCCCTTTTCATCCCTAAACCCTAAACCCTAAACCCTAAACTTTTTAAGGTTGCCGGGGCACTCGGCTTTCGGGTTACAGTCCATCATTACGATTATGTGTCTCACATCGTTCTGATTCGCCACAAACCTTGTAAGTAAGGGTTTGGGGGCGTGTCCCTAGCCATGACCCAAAACCTTTCTAAACACCAGAGCTGGAAGACAAAGCTACATGCTTTCAATGGGGTAGGATGTATACTGCTTTAAAGCTGCGAAGGAACGCCCACTTCCTGGGGGTGTGTATTAGTAGGGAATAAGGGTTTATATATACACATACATAGAAATATATATATATATATAGATAATATGTATACTGTTGCAGATGTCGTATATAGGTTGAATTCCCTTGTTCGATGCTAATCCCCAGCAGCCTCGGGTTACCATCAAATCTGGCTCCTGAGCAATCGTTCAGCAAGACAAGCTCATTCTTTAGTCTTATTGGGAACTATTTTTCATTTTTGGCATATGGGTTTAGGGCGTAAGGATCTAGGGTTTTTAGGGATTTAGGGTTTAGGGTAGTATGACTGGCCCAAAGGAACTTTTTGAATTGGACTCATTTTCGATTCTTAGTACAATAGGAATAAAACCCTGTAGGAGCTGTTCAGAAACATAGTTCTATTGGAGGTTTAGGGGGAGTGATAGCATTGGGGTGCCCTCCCAAAAGCTGATACACCATGCGTGGCTTTCCAAATTTTGGCTAGCTTTAGCTTGGCTGTTAGGACTTCAGCATTTTCTGGGTTACCCGTTTTACTGGGACTCTCACAGTGGGAACCCCTAAACGTTTTAGGGTTTAGGGTTTTCTTAAACCCAAACCCTGTACTTCCCTGCTACATCCCGAAAGGTGAGTTTCCATCAATACGGGCCCCAAAATAGACACCAATATGTCGTACTCCAATTATGGGTACCCCAAGAAAGGGACCCTAATTTCCGGAAACCTCCCTGTAATACCACTTAGCGCTCAAATCCTAGACCCTCAACCCCTAAACCTTTAACCCTAAACCCTTAACCCTAAACCCTTCATTCTTTGTGATAGTCCCCCTTGAGTAGATAGGGTTTAGGGTTTAGGGTTTAGGGATTAGGGTGTAGGGATTAGGGTTTAGGGCGTATAGTCCCCTTTTAAAGTAGATAGAATATTAGGGTTATATTGGGGTTATATAGGTACAACGGAAAAGAAACTGGAAGCTACTATTGAGGGCTTAGGCTTTAGGGTTTATAGTCTCCCTTAAGTAGATAGAATGTATCTTTGGGTCATATTGTAATAAGATCTCCACATACCCCATATTCTATCTACTGAATGGGGACTATAGGCTCAAGTCTCTCCTTGGGCTCTTCTTGGGTTGCTGTTAAGGAACTTAGTTTAGGTTACTATATTATCCCCCTATAATGGAGAATCAAATGGAAAAGAACGTGGACATGAAATGGAAACTGGGGGAATGTAGGGGTTTGAGGAACTTAATTGAAGTTACTATGTTGGGGAAACCCTATTACTTACTAGATATACCCATTATGGAAACTCAATTGAAGTTCCTTCACAGCAACCCAGCTTCTGCCGTTCCATGTTGGCTAAGGCAGCCCTCTAAGGACTCGATATGAGCAATAGTCTGAACTCCTCGTATCCCCCTTGAATTCTATACTCTAAGAGGGTTGAGGGGTGAGGGTGTAGGGTTTATAGGCTTTAAAGGGTTTAGGGGCTAAACTCCCAGCATCCTCCTTAATAACCCCTATGATACTCCCCCATTATGACCTCAGTTTAAGGAGTTTTTACTTGATAGCTCGTTTAGGGGAGCCTCAAGAAAGCCTTAGGCAGGGTGGGGCCCCAAAATGCCAGGAAGCTTTCTTAAGCCTGTCGGGGGGACCCTAAATCCTAAACCCTAAACCCATTAGAAGGCCCGTCTGATCTGGAAGGATTTCCTCAAGAATACCTTTACTGGGCTCATGAAGTTGACGGTGGAGGACTTGGGTTCAGGGTGAGGATTTAGGGTTGCGGATTTAGTATTTAGGATCTGGGTAGGCCCCTGTGATATTTAACATTTTCCTTAATGGCTGCAATAAGGGACCCTAAACCCTAAATCCTAGGATTTAGGATTTCCTTTCACGAGCTCTGTCTGGCGCTCAGCAGGTCCAGTGATAAAAGGACTAAGGTTTAGGATTTAGGGTTCAGGGTTTAGGGTTTTATAGGGTTCAGGGTTTAGGATTCAGGGTTAGGTTTCCGAACGTTGGGGTGGTGTAGGCTTTTAGAGTTAATTTTGATGTTTGGCTAGGATTCCGAGGATGGATGCCGAGCCGCCAGTCTAGGGTTGAGGGTGTAGGGACCTAAGCATCCCGCCGTAAGACATGTAGATAGGTCGGTACTGCTTGAGGGAATCCCCCAACCTCCACCCGCACCCCTGAAAGCCCTGAACCCCAGAACCTGGATCTTAAGATTCTAAACCCTATAGCCCTAGCCCTGTTAGGAGGTGCACTATCTACGTACATAGTCCCCCTTACGTAGCTAGAATATGGCTTCGGGTATATTATAAACACATCACCATATACCTCATATTCTATCTATTTGGGGGGGGGATAATAAATCCACCAAAGGCTTCCTCTACGGTTTTGTTGACGGGCAAAGGCTCAGAGTGATAGGGCTTCTGTAGGTTTCTGCTTGATTGGTTAGAGTTTTGGGTTTAGGGTCTTGGTTGCTAGATGCGCATTTTAACACCTCAGTGGTGAACAGTCCTGGGCTGCTGCTAAAGGAGTTTAAGTTAAGCTTCCATACCATGATTCTATAGTAAATGGTAACTTGATTTAACTTCCTTGACAGCAACCCAGACGATTTCGGTTTTGGTATGGCCCAATGTTGATTCTGTCAACCTCTTGCCTCGAAGAGTGGGCTTCGCCAGCTTGAGCTGGGCACAGGAATCCAGTACTCCCCTTGTCACCTGCTATAGTCCCCCTTAAGTAGATAGAGTATGGGGTATATATGTATATATGTGGGGCTTATTATAATATGCCGGAAGCCATATTCTATCTACACAAGGGGGACTACATGTCCAGGAGTCTACATGGAAGTTCGCAAAACGGGGTTACCCCTAGTTACAGAGCATATGCCTTATCAGATAACAACCCCAAAAGGGACCCCTGAGTCTACCCATTGGGATAATACCAGGGCTTTATAGGGGTTATATGGAGATAATGGAAAAGAAAATAGAAACTATTATGATGTGTTATATAGGGTTTAGGGGGTTCTCCCATTTGGCGTCATATTCTGCTTCCTTCAGACCTTCGAAGGCATGGGATACGTTTGCCAGTGCCTGATGTTCCAGTTGTAGTCGCCGTTAAGTAGATAGAATATGGCCTTGGGTAAAGTCTAATAAGATCCCCATACAACCCTACTTAAGGTGGGCTATAGCCAAAAGGACCGCATTTGAGGTACCTTATGTTAGAATTCCACAAGCTGTAGCATTCCTGAACAATAAGCGGCGTGGCAGTTGCTCCTTGGAGAGGAACTGCGGAATCCCTTGAGCATCCGCTTCAATGGTGAGGCAGGCTGTTGGGCGCTGGTCTCCATGTCGCAGCTGTAGAGTTTAGGGTTTGGGTTTGGGTGTAGGCACTCAAAAGAGTCCTTTCCAAACCGTTGATCTGTAGATTCAAGGGGTAAATTGTTTGCCAAGTAGCGTGTGGAGGGGCTGAGGTGTTCACAGGCACACACTTGTTTCTGCGCCCGGTGGTTCATCAGGCAGTGTTAGGACTTTGTTTCACCCATTTGACTTATTTCTGGCAAGCTGGAAGACTTGCCCTAGATTTGCGGAAGGCCTTGAGTCAATCCTGACATGGATCCTGTGCTTGCCGTCCCTTTGAGCTTTCACAACTTCTGGGTCACAGTCCTCTGCATTCCCGTATTGGTCTGGGCGCTGCAGATTGGGTACCGGCTACTTGTTGCTGTGTTCCTGCACTACCGCTTGAATATGAGTAGGCCGCTGGTTCTCGATCGGATGAGCATTTTTGCCGATGATTTCCAGCAGATCATTCGCCAGCACTTCAATCAGATCCTGCGAATTCGCCGGACAGTACCTTCAAAGATGATCCCTCAAGTGCAGCTCATCGTTCATGTCCAGCCTGAAAGTTTGGCAGCTCAGCCTGACCCAGCAGGTGACCGACTCAGCGTAGAGCTCCAGGGCCATGATTCAACGACATTTGGGAGTTTCCCAAAAAGGGGGGACCCCACTTTAGACCCATAAATATGTTCATCCTGACTATGGGTACCCCCCAAGAAGGTACCCCCAATTTCGGGAAACCCTCCCTAAACCCTGAAACCCTGAACCCCTGAAACCTTAAACTTGTATGCTTTGGGCGCGCTTGATGGCAACCCGGAAGGACAGGAAGGATGCCAAAGATTGTCCCAAGATGACTGAGTTTCTGTTAGGGAACTTAAGCTCAGTTACCATCATATGCGTATATAGTAAGGCATAGAAACCCTAAACCCTTAAGGCCCTATATACAAACCTTAAACCCTAAACCCTGTATACCCTTATTATAGTGACTTAACTCAAGTTCCTTAGCAGCAACCCCTCAACCCTAAACCCTAAACCCATAATCCAGGTTTTCGGTGGATGCCTCGCATCCCTGTGCCGCCAACCTCTTCTGGGGAGTTCCTCTTGCTGTCAGGGAACGTAAACATTAAGTGGCTAACATAAGGATATTACATAGTGTTAAGGGTTTAGGGATGGGTTTAGGGTTTAAGTAGGGTAAAGAGAGATAAGAACTTAAACTAAGCTACTCTAACAAGGGGCTTGAGGGTTTGGAGTTTAGGGGTTAGGGTTACTGCAATTGTATTTTAATGGAACTTCCTTATCAGCAGCCCAGGTCACAGGCCAAGCATGTCAGGAGCTGATCCGGTCCTGTGAGAGGCGCACGGATGGGCCCCTCCTGTTTGTGGACCCAGAGCCTGGGACCTCAGAAGAACTGTTGAGGGAGATTAGTTGAAATAATTAGGGTTTAGGGTTTAGGAAGATTAGAACTCAGAAAAAAAATTGAGCGGTAGTCTCAACTCCTAAAAAGGACTTCTACAGGGGATTATATAGGGGACTACTATTGGGGTTATTAAGGGGGATACTAGGAGTGTAGACTATAGCTCATTTTGAGGGAGATTAGTTGAAACAAGATTTATACCTTCCAAGAAAGCGTTTGACTCATTGTGCATATTTGGCAGCTTGAGGGTTGTTAGGGGATGTAAGTGGGACGCTAGGAACTTTAGTCCCAGCAGTATTCTTTCACAGGGACTAGAGGAAAGCGCCGCCTTCAGCGTATTTCCCAGTGGCCAGTTCGCGCATCGATCCACCGTCACCATCCCGGCTGGGCTTGGGCAGCCTGTGAGACTAGGCCGAGAGCCGGTCCAACATCCTGGCTTCATTCTTTTACGCAGTTGTTGTCATGATGGTGATGCTGCTGCTGCTGATGATGATGATGATGATGATGGTGATGCTGCTACGCGTCATGATCACCATCACCATCAGTGCCACAAGTAATAGCTGTAGCCTCGGTCGCTGCGCAGCTGCAGCAGGAGGAGGAGCTGCAGCAGTAGTAGCAGCGGCAGCGGCGGCAGCAGCAGCAGCAGCGGCAGCAGCAGCAGCGTGGTGGAGACGTCGCCGCGCTGCTGCGGTGCCGGCAGCGAGGGCAGCAGCTGTGGTGGGAAGTGGCTGTAATAACTAGGACTAGGGGCTAGTATACAGCAGTCTCCAGAAGCCCGTGCTTATCACGGTGATTGAGCTGCAGAGTTTGCCTCCAGGCTGTGGCATGTGAGATATGATGTGGCAAGTGCAGAACCACTCTAGGTAGAAATGGGTTTTGAGCAGTCATCTTTCACAGACCCACCTGAAGTTCACAGATAGAGATTTTGACGAGTGCTCACCTTGTGACAGATGAAGACCTGGCAGCCATCAAGCGATCTGGCTACGACGTGCTGCAAGCTGCCACGAAGATGAGCAGTGGCGCAGACAGCAGGATCGAGGGTAGCAGTACGGACTTTGTGTGTTGGCATCGACAGATTTTTTGGGTGCCTACTCTTGACTTTTGCGGCAGTTATTCAGGGCGATACGTAACCACCAGAGCAACGAGTGTATAACTGGCATGAGTGAGGACCACTCTGTGCTTTTCTGATGGTCATGCAGAACAGATGGGGGTGTCCCAAACTTAGGGCCATTATAAGGGTTATAGTATTGTGGGGTCTATATTCCCCCTATTTTTGGAAACTACCAGATTCATAAAACTGGTTGCCGACACTCGTTCAGCTTCCCCCGCCTTGTAGCTGGGTCAAAACTCAATTCTCATTTATTATATTCACTGCTCCCAAACGATCCCACATTCAAAGTTGCGTGCGGAAGAGTGCAAGGGCAGATACCCTTCAGGCGGCATTTCTACAGATGAGTGGGCAACAAATAGTAGGAGCAATTGTAAGAGTCGAGGGAATGTTGATGTTCAACAGTAACCATATCAATACTTTGAATTACATAGGTTCTAGCATTCGAACCATAGTACCAATACCTCCTCCTACTACGAATACTACTGCTGCTGCTACTTCTGCTACTGCTACTGCTACTGCTACTGCTACTGCTGCTGCTGCTACTACTACTACTACTACTACTACTGCAACAACAACAACAACTACTACTACTACTACTACTACTACTAGTACTGGTAGTGCTGGTGCTTAGTAGGCTGCTTTTTCTGAGCTGTTGCACGGACTATCCATTTTCCAGGATTCCGCTTGTGATTTGTGCGGGAGCTCCAGGGCGTGTTCCAGATGACAAGCATGCGAATGTGCAGCTGACTTTCGTGCCTGGTCCTTGCTTTGACTTCTGTTTGACGTTCAAAGCAGCTTCCTAAGCCACTCCCCCCACCCAATACCCAACAAAACGAGCAGAGACTTGTATGCGCCGATGATGATGATGATGATGATGATGATGATGGCGATGATTGTGATGTCTGTGCTGAAGCTGGTGCAAGACGACGACAAAAACGAAAAGAAGTGTGATGATGATGTTGATGATGATGATTCTGATAATTGATCATGATGTTGATTCTGATCATGCTTTCGCTGTTGATTTCGCCGATTCTGCTCTTGATAGCGATGGTTGGTGTCGGCAGTGGTGGTGTGCGCTGGCAGTGGCGGTGGCAGCGGCAGCGGTGGCTGTAGCGGTACCGGTCGCGGTGGCAGGGGCGGCAGAGATGGCTGTGGGGGTTGCGGTGGTGGGGGTGAGGGGGATTCAGTCATCGTCCCTGCCGTCGCCGTCGCAGTCATTGCTGTTGAAGTGCAGCAGCAGCAGCAGCAGCAGCAGCAGCAGCAACTGCTGCCACAACTGTCGCCACGTTGGTCGTCGCAGTCGTGGTAGTCAAGCAGCAATGTCAACTGAAACGTAGTACTTGTAGTGCGAAGCACCGAGCTGCAAATGTCCAAGGTGCGGTTCAGAAGTGAGAGCTGTTCTGGGCCTGTTCAGTCGGAAGTTGTCCGGCAACTGGTGGCATCCAAGAACGCTTTCCATCAGATTCTGGGAATCTACGGCTATGAGGAGGGAGATCGAGAAGCTGACCTCGCCTTGGAAGAGCTTGTTTTTGGTAGTCAAGTCCAGAGGTCATAAAGCAAACAAACCCGTGCAACTTAGATCTGGGCAATAATGAAAAAATTCTGCGAGAATTCCTCTTCCGTGGTTCCCCAGAACAAACTTTACGGCAGTTGGGGCTTCACATCGGGGCTCTCGGTAAGCCCGTGTAATCCCGACATACCTTAGCAAGCCACAAATCCCGAAGCCCGACGAAGCTCCAAACCCTGCACCCTTGAAATTAAAACTCCTAACCCCCGAACCCCCTGTTGGCCCTACACTTCCACACTCCAGCATCCAGGAAACTGAGTGCATGGTTTGCTACGATCGCCCACGCAGCGTCATCGTCCTGCCCTGTCGGCATTGCTTCGTGTGCCCCTCCTGTCCCTGGGCCCTCGCTTCACCTACAAGTTGTTATAAGGGATTACAACAGACGCCCCCAAAGGTACCTCCCCGGGGGGTAATTACTATTGTAACCCCTTATGTTAGGGAATGGAGGCGTGGATCGCCGAAAGTAGCTGCATATCGTCTGTAAGGATATAGTAGTTAGTAGTTTCCACTTGCTCCTTCATCCCGCAATGCCCAGCTATAAGCCGTTGCCTAAAGTCCCTTATGATTTCTACGCCGTTGCCTAAAGTCCCTTACAATTTCTACCTTGAAATGCACTTGTGCTTCGTAATCTACCTGCCGACTAGAATGCTACAATGGTCTTCCTGGGTGGCCGTGGACATGAAGTCACGAGAATATCTAGAATCCTCCGACCCTTAGAGGCACTATGAGAGACTACTACTGTAGACCCCTGATAACTAAACCCCCTGCCCTTAATAGGGATTATAATAGGGGTCCTAACATTAAGGCCTTTAAAAGGAGGGGGTTTATGAATCATGGGTCTACATTAGGCCTTATGAGGGTGGCGGGTTGTCTTTTGGGGGGAATTTCCTGTAGGGCGTGGTTGAACAAATCCCATGATGAACATCAAGGTCTCCGATCCCTTCGCGAAGAGAAGTGCCCTATGTGCAGAGCCTCTGCCGCAACGGATTTAGCCCTAAACCTTAAACCCTTAACCCGAAACCGCGTTGATTTGGGGACTTTCCTGGAATCATCAGGGTACGGGTCCAACAATTAGGCTTCAATTCTGCCCTTGCCTTGGGCAGCATTTGTGTGCGACAGCCTCCCCCATGTGTGCGTCTGCCGAAAGAAGGCCACAGCAAAGGATCTGAGTATTACGACAAGAAATACAGAAGAAAGCTGTCAATAATGATTCCCATCCAATCCCTAGTGGGTATACTCTCCTACTAAAGCCCGTATGCTAGGTTGGCAAAGTTGTGCACCCTTTTTTTGGCTCTTGGTGTCTCTTGTAGAAAGCGGCCCCAAATATCTAGAGCACCGAACTTGGAAACCCACCACGTATCCCTTGGGTTCCGAATGGCACCTCGCCCTGAACCCCGAACCCTAAACCCTAAACCGTATGCACCCTAACGTGAGAAACCCACAAACGATGCCTGACGTTGGCAAGGGTTGCGGAGTAGCTGAAGAGCCGGCTTTCTGTAAGTAGCGGTTTAGGGTTAGGGTTCAAGGTTTAGGGTTTAGGGTTCAAGGTTTAGGGTTGGGGTTTAGGGTTAGGGTTCAAGGTTTAGGGTTAGGGTTTAGGGTCTAGGGTTAGGGCTTTGGGCCCTAATCCCTAGGGACATGAGGGGATGATACGGAGATTATTGGGTCCCGTTTCGGGATCATGTACCATTTTGTCCTACATGGATGTCAGAAATCCCACACAGAACCCGCAAGCCGGCCTCTCATGATCCATTCCCGTGCAATCCTCTCTCCCTAGCAACAAACCCCTGCACGCCCTCTAATAATCTTGGATCCTGATTATTGTGGGGGGCCCCCCCAAAAAAAGGGGAGGGTCTATAATGAAAAATCCTCAAAACCAATTGGGGGTCTGGGGCATCCTATGTTATCATTACCACGGCTGTTAACATTAATACTTCTTTGGAGGTCAGAATGGTCGAGGTCCCTTCCCAGCTCTGCTTTCTGCTACTCTTTTCAAGAACGCAGTATAACACCTGCGGCTACGGTACCACTTCTTACATGCGTATTTCTCAAGATCTGGACCCCCAAACGTACATCAGCAGAATGTAATCTCTTATCCTGGACTGGGGCCAACAATCTTGAGAACCCTCCACCCCAACCCTACACACCCCAAACCCCAACAGCCTAGACTAGAAACCCTAAACAAAGGATCGACGTTTTCTGCATACCTGCTGCTTCCCCTCCTGCGGGAACCTGGGTCGCTGTTTTAAGGTTGTTTCTTAGTAAGTTTAACACAGAACACATAGGGCTTATATTGGGGTTAATATAGGGATACTGGAAAAGAAAATGGAAACCACAATATTGTGTAGGGTTACACAGGGGTACTGCAGGGATTATATAGGAGTACAGAACCTGATAAAGTGCCGTATGCAGACCTAATTTCTTGCCTGTTTTTCTGGAAGCGGAGGCAATTCTGAAATCTTATTCCGTAATGGAAGCGACAACTACCTGTAATCCCCGCACACCTCAAGCAAATATCAAGTGGAAAATGACATGGAAACCCGGGCTTATAAGGATTTATAGGGTTTCAGGGCTTTGTTTTCTGTCGGTAACCCCGCTCTGGCTGACTGTGCACCATGGTTGTGACGTTGTAAAGAGGCGACTCTAAGGGTACAGTTTCCTCATAATGCGGAAACCCTACACCCTAAGCACATGATATAACGGAGAGTACAAGATAACCCCACCACACTATTTTAAGTCGGGCCCCAGCATTAGCCTCATCCTGGCTTCAAATGCCTTCCTGATTTGCCTCAAGCTCCCGAAGGTTCCTTTTTTTCGAAGCCTATCACCTACTTTGAAGTCCTAAAGCCTATAGTCCCGCTTAAGTAGATAGGATATGGGGTATATGGGAATCTTATTCTTATATACCCAAAGACATATTCTATCTACTTAAAGGGGACTTACTTGAACCCTTAACCCTGCCCCGTGACACGAGGTTCTCTAGATCCTCAGAAACCTTAAAACCCGTAAGCTCACACCCTGGCCCCTCATTTGGTTGCGGTCGCATGAACAACCCCAGCTTACTGGTTCTTAGTAGGGAAGCAGGGAATATAATCTCTACATAATTCCCATATAGTATCTTCCCTTCTTCCCTACTAACAACCAGTAAGCCAGGAGCACGCGCAAACAGCATCCTCTTCAGCCAGAACAGGGCTTGAATGAGTCGATGCGGCTAAAAGGATGCCTAGCACGTGCGTTGAAAGCAGTTCTTCTGGGGCTTACCAGGAATCCGTACCCAAGGAGTCCAGGTAGCTTCATATGTTTTTTACTTGGGCCCTAAGAAGTTATGTGGGACCCCTTCGGGCCCTAAGTATATAATTACTGTACAGCTACATGGACCGTTTGGCTCAGGTATCGTCTGGGATTCAGAATTATGGTGACCGGCCGAGGGACCTTGCAAGCAGCATCCAAGTATGAACTGACGGTTTCGCCAAACTAGTTTAGGATTTAGGGTTTGCGGTTACGCCCTCAATCCTCATAGCTGCCACAAAAGTTTGGACAAGGGGAGCATATGGAACTCTGAGGGCGTAACTCGCGCTATTGCTGCGACCATTTTTGATTGTGTGCTTGCCCCTTTCATTTAGCCCTAAACTAAGCTGAGCCAATAGAACCGTCTACATAGAAAATGCTCAAGTTGGCGCATTCTCAGGTTCTGAGGTTGCTACAAAATAGCCAGCCTAGATGCTGTTGCAAAAGAGAATCTACATGGATTGCTGCCTTTTTCAAGGGACCTGCGCGGGGGGGGGCAGGGGACTCAACTTCGCTTAGGTGAGAGCATAGAATCCTCTGCTCCTAATATGAAACCCACCCACCCCCCTAATATTAAATACTCCCAACATATTACAATATACCACACCCCCCCTTGCCCTAATATTACATACTCAAAATACATTATAATATACCACAGTGGGGAGTATTTCATATTAGGGGCGGGGGGTTGGGGGTGGGGTGGGGGGGTGTATTATTTTGGTGGGAGAGGATGACTGTCTATAGAAGCCTGTCGGCTTGCCAGTAATATCCCCTAACACCCCTGACATATGTTCCCCCTTAGTTAGATAGAATATGGGATACATGGGGATCTTATTATACTATACCCAAAGCCATATTCTATCTACTTTAGGGTGACTATAACACAATCTTAGCACAACATACCCCAACACCCATTCTTGCTAGCTGTTCCGGCCTCTACATGAAATCGAGGATTGTGGTAACCCCCACCCCCGAAAGTAGGACCCTACGACTATCAATTGATTCCTATCAGGCGCTAATTGTGCAGATTGGGGTTGCCAAAATTCTCTTATGAACCGCGAAGCAGGTTGCTGAGGACTATGGCGGGCCACGACGGGCCCTCGGCAAGATATTTTCCCTCCACCAACAGCATAGCAACCCCCAAAAGATGCCCATTCACACGATCGTCTCTTTGAAAAGGCTAGATTCCCTGTCAGTTTAGGAGAGTGTAGGTGTCAGAATATCGAAGATGTACCGACAATTGTCATATTATGAGTCATACTTGTAGCCGTAGATGATAGCTGACGAGGGCACTGATGCCGACAGTTCAACCATAAACCCTCAAACCCCGAACCCTTAAGCTCTAAGCCCCTGAACCCCAAACCGCGCTTGTGCAATTCTGAATTTCAGCCTTGGGTATTGCCCCTACTCTGTAACAGTTGGATAATTTGTACAATATAGTTGTATATGTATAGTCCTTAACATGACCCCTAAAATAGACTGCTATGGGGTGGGGGCAGTACCCAATCGCTGCGCGTAAGAAATAGACGCCCCTTCACAAGCAATCCCAAGTACCCGTATCAACATGGACCGGATATGCCTCCACCAGCACTCGCAATGCTAAGTGCATTTGTTTTTTTAGCATGTCTGTCAAATGACACAAGCACTTATGTCACTAAAAAGGAAGTCTCCCGTGGTAATATTGTAGTTTCCATGCTCTTCTCCATTATCCGTACATAACCCTATGAACATATGTATGCATATACATATATGTGTATATATATATATATGTAGATACCCCTATATAAACCCCAGTATAAACCCCAATACGTCCCTAGATAACCCCCCAAAAAGCTTGCAAACTTTCACTTAATGGTAGTAATAATAGCAAGAAGCAGCGATAATAGTAGTAATAGTAAAAGTAGTAGTGGTAGTAATAATAGTAATAAGAGTAAGAATAGTAAGAGTCGTAATAGTAGCAATACCAGTAAAACTTTTTCAACCCTGCAGCCCTGAGGCCGTGATTTTTTCTGCATGATTGGCACCCGACTCTGCAGTGATCTGCGGGGGGCTGAGTTGGTTCAAGGTTTAGGGTTTAAGGTTGAAGGTTTAGGGTTTAGGGTTTAAGGTAGTTTAGGGTTTGAGGTTTAGTGTTGGGGGTTTAAGGTTTAGGGTCTAGGGTTCAAGGTTTTGGGTTTAACGTTTAGGGTTTAAGGT